TCACTTTCTAAGTCTGTGATCTGTTTCTTTGAAATTATAGTTCCCTGTGACTCTTGAGGCACATAGTCTGGTAAATGAGATTTTAACAACTGTTGTTACTATGTTTTCTCCTGATAAATTGGGTTCTAGTGCTGGGGGATATTAATCTACTTCGTTTGTTATTAGTTATCTTATAACTGCATAAAGATATGACAGACTGTGAGACTAGTGACAGAATTAAATGCTTGAGCACATATAACTTTGTATTGCTTGTGCTGCATTGTACTGGAAAAATGTGTTAATCAGCTGTGCTTTATGGTCTATTGCCTTGCTGCTTAATCACTTGACTTACAGCCCCTTTGACAAAGAATGTGTCAGTTTCTAATACTGTAATTATGTTTTTCAACTGCTGAAATAGATCATGGTCTTAAACAATTGAAAATTGCAAAATGTGAAATAACAATGCAATTTCCATGTTCTAAGTATGTCTCCAATAATAGTACTTTTCAAAGTTCAAAAGTGTGTTTTGAAATAAACAAATTGTATGAAACTAAGTTGTTTATTAATGATGGTTTCATTCATACAATTTGTTTTGTCATATATACCTTTTATCTTTTCCACTTGCAATTCTTCCATTTCTCTCTACCACTTTCCCTTCCCAACTTCATGAGTTTTTATTTTACTTTGAAAAACAAACCCACCAAGTCCACACAGTGGTACCACTATGTACTTAGTTGTAGAGCTAATTAGTGAAGCATAGGTAGCTTCTGAGAGGTTATTAGCCTGAAGAAAACCAATTCTCCCTTCCCAGGAGCTGGCTTGTTCTTGTGCATATATTATGCATTCTGTCCTCACAGCTGTATGTGTGTGCATTGCACTGCTCTGTCCGGCAGTTACTGTTTTGTTATAGATATCCCTGGGCTTTTACAGTGTTTCTGAACCTCTTTCATTGTGATTTTTGAGCCTTGCCAAGGAGGAAGTCTGATATGGGTATGACATTTAGAGTTGAACTCTTCACAGTCTCTTATGTTCTACAGGTTGATCAATTGTGAGTCTCTGTACTTATTCCCATCTACTGGAAGGCAGGGGCACAGGACAAACAAACTTTGATGATGGTTGACAGATATACTAATCTATGGATATAAGGATAAGAACGTAGTTTTGGAGTTTCCCCTCAGGTCAGTGACCTAGTCAGTCACACCTTTTGAGACTTTAAAACTGCTGAGAGTGTCATTGGCTGCTCATTATATTCATAGCACTATTGCACCAGTGAGGATATTCTGGTCATGCCAGTCATCATTGAGAAAGTTTACAGCGGGTATGTGGGGGGGGTTAAGATTGTTGACCCTCCCCCCAATAGTATGCATAAAACCTCCTGCCACATCTCTTAATAATGCCACTTCTTATGGGCCAAGCATTTTAACACATAAGTCTATGGGACCCATTCCTATTCAAATTACCCCGACTATGAAAGCTAGCTGCGTCTATGTCAGTACTGGTTTGCTTTTTCCTTGTTTATTAACTCCAGTATATATTATCTTCAGTATTTACCAATGGAGTTTACAAGTTCTGTATCCAAGAGTAGTTGAAATATCTTGCAGGGTTTCAGGGTGATGGTGGGAGTTCTGCAGGACCCCAGTGAGCAAAAACTTGAAAAGAGGTAATCCATATTTGACACTGGGCTTGTTATTTGGGAGTCTGTGGTGTCTAGGAACAATAGTTTTCCTACTTCCTCTTGTAGGATGATTTCAATTAAAATTTTTCTTTTTATATATGTGCATATGTAGATTTCCACATGGCATTTTCAACTGTCTTTTGATTGATGTTAGTCGTTATATTTTAGGAACTTCTTGTTTTGCTACGATAAAACACTATAACCAAGGCAACTTACAAAAAGGAGTTTATTTTGGCTTACACGTCTAGGATGATAAAGTTTATCATGGTTGGAGAGACATGGTGACAGGCTCAGAAAAACTCAAGAGTTCACATTTTCAGCTACAAGCATAAAGCACAGAGAGTAAACTGGAAGTAGGGAAATGCTATGAAAATTCAAACCTGTTCCTAATGATGTATTTCCTCCAGCAAGGTGCCATCTCCTAAATTTTTCCCAGTAGCGCCACTCCTCATTTAAAGCACCACTGTTCTTGCTTTCATAGTCTATATTCTACACTGCTCTCTTATCCTCGTCTCTCCCTGTCCCATTTAACCTTGTCCGTCTCATTAGTCTCTGCCCTGTTTGTACCACTCGCAGTCTATTCCCAGTCACTTGACTCCTCCTCCGTACTAGTTTCATTATATCTGTGGTTATTCTAGATACATGTATCTCAAGGTTCAATGCTAGCATCTACATGAAGAGACAGACAACATGTGGCTTTTGTCTTTGTGGGTCTGAATTACTTCATTCAAAATGATTGTTTCCTGATGTTTCTCTCTTGAGTATCAAGTGACTATCTCTTCTGATTAGTTTTGACTTGAAGTCTGTTTTGTCAGATATTAGGAAGTTAATACCTACTTGTTTATTAGTTCTGTGGTAAGCACCACAACCAGCACCAATATGGGGACAAAATAGTTTTCAAATAAGTCAAAGCTAATATTCCAGTCTTTTATTGAGGAAAGCCAAGGACCTTAACCAAAGTACAAGGTGAAGTAGGACTGTGGAGGAATGCTTGCTCACTGCCTACAGTAGTCTGAGATCTGCACTCAACCAGACACATCAAGAAGATGCTTCACAGACTTGCCTATACACCAGCCAGATGAAGACATTGTGCAGATTGAGGTTTCTTCTTCCCAGATGACCCTACTTGTGTCAGGACTTATTGAAGGATGTGTATGAGTGTTTGTTGGTTTGTGTGTTTTTAAAAAATTATTGTTATTACAATGTTAGGGCTTTGTTCCCAGTATAATTTGTCTTGTGTTGACATGGTTTGGGTTTATTTTGTTGTGAAAGAATCTGACTGTGTCTCCCAGAGCAGCCTCAAAATTAGACTCCTCCTGCCTCAGCCTTTGAGCACTAAGATTTATAGACTTGAATTATCATGTCTTACTCCCCAAAATGCTTGTTAAATAACCCAAATGAAGAAAACAACGAGACCAAAACAACATACTGATTTTTCAACAGTCAGGTTAAGAGTAAGGTAAAGAACCTAAATAATGATGTGGCTGCCAGGAAAGTGATGTATGAAGCCAGTTGTCAACAAAGGCTGCACAGGTTACTGTGTAGGATTTTTAGTCAGTTTTCCCTGCAGTATCTTTAAGTTAACAGGCTAGTGCTTAAACTTTTTATATTAAAAGCTAGTTAGTCATTTGTCTATTCTTAATTCCATACTTTCACTTGTACTTTAGAGTAATTTTGATTGCTTAGTAGACCCTGTTTATAAATAGAGGGAATGTATTCAAGGATTATATAACTGATTCTTACTTGAGTTACTAGGCATTACTAAATCACCTCAGTTAAAGACCAGATTTCAGTTCCAGTACGGTCTTAGTCATGCTTTCTTTTCTGTGATAAATAACCAAAAGCAACATGGGGAGGAAAGGATTTGTTCCACAGCACAGTCTATTACTAAGGGGAAGTCAAGACAGGAACTCAGATATTGCAGGAACCTGGAGACCAGAACTGATGCAGAGGCCTTGGAGAAGTGCTGTTTACAGTCTTGCTCTCCATAGCTTGCTCAGCCTGCTTTCTTAGTGCACTGAGAGCCACTATGGGTTGAGCCCTCTCACATCAGTAAAAAAGAAAATGCATTTCAGGCTTGCCTACAGGCCAATCTCATGAGGCCATTATGTCAGTTGAGATTCTCTTTGTCAAAGTAACTGCTAGGGTTAAGTTGACATAAAGCTAACCAGTACAAGTACCACTTCTTGTCAGTGGTGTGTGTGTGTGTGTGTGTGTGTGTGTGTGTATTCACACGCTAATTACTGGCATCATCTCTGAAGCCAGACTACCTGATAATTAAATATCATTTCAAACCACTTAAAAGCCCGCTACCTATGGTAGATCACTTCACTGTAACTCTCATTATTCTAAAATGTTAATAATAATAATATCTTTCTCATATGGTAGTTAAAAGAATTAGTGATTATAGATCAGTGAGAATTATATTGAGAAATATTGAATATGGAAATTCTTTTCAACTTTCACCTGCATTAGGCAATTCAGATTGCTGGCTTGAATGATAAGTGTATGGAGGCTGCTGGTTAAATTCTACAAAAGTGAATAAGATCTTATATTTTGCACTAAAGTAGCTTATTTTGAAATTTGTGTTTTAAAGAAGATACAAGAGCGTAGTGGATTCCCTAAGTCCTGTAAAAGGAGCAGAAGATTTTTTTTTATATTGTTTTCTGTTTGTACAATAAGGAATGTGCATTGACATTCTGTAATTCAAAGAGATAGTATTTGTTTGGGTAATAAGGAATTGACTTCAGATATAGTAATGACAACTTAGTTCCTCTTTTTATGACTATTCTGTCCCGTTTTCACCACCAATTGCTTCACTAATTCTCCTTGTATACTGCTTTATTTATTAAAATAGTATTAAGTGCCTTGAAAGAGTAATGACAAGATTTATGAAAAAATTTATTGACAATTTTTTTTGGTCACTCATAATGTTTCAAACTATTAAAGGTCTTCATACTAGGATGTAATATGGTTATTAAAATTAAACTGAAAAACAGGCCAGGTGTCTAGGAACAAAAGTTACAAATCTATACAGTGTCCTGACTCTTATAATTCGGTATCTTGATGACTTATTTCTGAACATGTGGTCTAGTGAGACTTGAAGATATTTGAAAAAGCTGTCTTCTCTGTAGAAATAATAGGAGCTCTGTAAAAGGAGAAAATGTCAGCTGAGATACAGCTCAGGGGTATCACACTTGTCTAGTACACATACATGCCTCACATTCAAGCCTCAGCCCGGGGGAAATAGGAAAAGAAAAGTAAAATTCTAAAAATTTGCTATAGATAATATCAGGGTTGGATACATAGTCTCACAGATGACATGTGTGCTCTCCCTCCGCTTTAGTATTGAATTTGACCGGGACTGTGACTATTTTGCAATTGCTGGAGTTACAAAGAAGATTAAAGTCTATGAATATGGCACAGTCATCCAGGATGCAGTGGATATTCATTACCCTGAGAATGAAATGACCTGCAATTCCAAAATCAGGTATTTCTCTTTTTTTCTTGACACAAGGAGTGTCTTCATAGTTGTTCATATTAGTGATAAGTATGACATTATTTTTTTTTTTGCATGAGACTCTGACTCATTCAGGGAGCATGCTTTGATTGTATATATAGAAGATACTTTGCATGAAACAGTTTGTGTACATAGCTAGCAGACTTGGTGTTCTGTTTTGGATTCTTGGACATTTGGTATTAAGTTGAATCCAAGGTATATGTGTTTATATGTGTGCTCTAATATTAGTGATAAACTAGTATCATGTTCATTTTTATTTCCTAATTCATGTATAGCAGTTTAAGAGCCTGCCCATTTGTAGTGGCATCATACTTGAGAATTTATTATACTCCTGAGTAGAGAATATATTGCAAAAATGAATTTATTAAATGCTTGTGTGTTAGACATTGTCTTAAGTGCTTTAACAGTTGTCTAACATGGTTACCATTATTATTCACACTTACAGTTGAATTGCACTAAAACCAAAAGTGAGTAGCTTGCCTGGGATGATCTAGCTGACATGTGGAGGGCTGCAGACTGAGAAGTTTAGTTCTATAGTCTGTGCTCTTAATCCCTTTGTACTTATTTATAGCATATAGCCATTACAGTAAGGTTAGTTGTGTAACATTGTACTTTAAAATGTTACAGTAATAAACTCAGCAGAGTACTTGGTTCATTTTAGTATTGATAGTCATTGTCACCATAAAGGAAAATGTAGTAAGTTTTAAGTGTGCTACTGCCTGCTGTATCATGGCACATATGCAAATGCATAGTACTTTATGACACATTCCACTAAATGCCTGAAATTGCTTAAGGCCAAAACCTACAGGGCTGAAAAGACCAATACCTAAGCACAGCTAACACAGTTGTTGGGTTTGTTTTCACCGGTTATGAAATATACTAAGTTAACCAGAGCTGCAGCTATTAAATGACAGATCTGAAATTAGAGTGCAGGTTTGTCTGAATCCATAATGAAAAACTGAGTTTATTTGAAAATGGAGATGATCCCCTCCTAATCCCTAAATTTGCCATAAATACAATGGAGAGTAAAATACATTCTTGGATGCAAACTACTTTTCTTAGTGCTTTATTCAATAATCTACACATTTTACTGTGCATGATTTAACTGTATATGTCTCAACAATAGCTTACTGCTTTAGATGCAGACTTTTAGAGAATAGCTAAAATTATTTAAATATGTTGCATGATTTTAATTGGAATTCAAACACACATTGCATTGGTCAAGACCTTTTGAATGTAAAAACTGAAATCCAGTTCAAACTCATTAGCTTAGTTTCATGGTTTGTCACAGCTGCATATAGGGGCTCATTCTGTTGTACCATTCTCTGAGTCACCTCGGCTTTGTCATTGTCATTAACAGTTACCCTTTCATGTGTAGGAGAGGTGATCAGTAGCAACTCTCAGCTCTATGTGTCATACACGTTGTGATCTGAGTAAAAGGTGGTAAACTTCAGCATTTGATGGTTTACTATCAAAGAGAAAATCTAGATACTACTAATGTCTGTTCTGAATTATTGTGAACTGATAGAAACCATTTTGAAGAATGTTCATCTTCCTGAACACACTGAAATTGAAATTTGCCCCAATGTTACAATTTACATCTTAAAGTTTTAGCTTTTTCTTTCATTTAGCTGTATCAGTTGGAGTAGTTACCATAAGAACCTGCTAGCCAGCAGTGATTATGAAGGCACTGTTATACTATGGGATGGATTCACAGGACAGAGGTCAAAGGTCTATCAGGTAAATATAGATATTGACTATATATTTAAAAATTACATTTTTTGTTTTCTTAGCAATTTAAAGTATGTATATGCCTTATAAGTAAAAATTTTTAACCACTATTTAATATTTTTATACTTAAGTGGTTGTACCAAGTGCTTTTCCAAAGAATTCCTCATACTTTAGTTTTAGAATGTATCAAATACATTTACAGAAGCATTAATTTTAGTAAATATGAGGCTTTCCTTTACTGTCTTTGCTTTTTATTTGATTTTATCGGCAGTTTGTTTCACCAGCCGATATCAGTAAATTGTTTTTCTCCCTTTCTCCCTTTCTCTCTGTCTCTTCTGTATCAAGGAGCATGAAAAGAGGTGTTGGAGTGTTGACTTTAATCTGATGGATCCTAAACTTCTGGCTTCAGGTTCTGATGATGCAAAAGGTACCATTCATTCTTATTTTCCCTTAGAAGATCCCACTCCTTAAACTCTAGTTAGTGCAGCTGTGCAAGTTGCTTATTGAAACGCATGCAAGTTCTTTGTGAATCAAAAAGTAATTTGAGCAAGAAATCTGTTTTTCCTTCTGAGTGAAGGAAAAATGAATCCACAGCATTTTCACAGTAATGTTTTTGTATTTGTGCCACACACTGCGACTGAACTGCTGTCAACTTCCTAAAAATACTTAATTTCTTTATGTGTGTTTGTATGAGTATGTATGTGTCTGTATGCCTATATGCCTCTTGTAGAGTGCATTATGCATGTGTATATACAGAAGCCAGAAGAGGGTGTCAGATCCCTCAGTTGGAGTTACAGGTACACTAGCATAGTACTGGGGTCAGAACTCTACTCCTCATAATTATATATAGTGTGGATTTAACTATTGTTGACATTATTAACTACTGAATCATGTGTCCAACCCCTGGTGTCATCTTTTAACCAAAGGTTTGAGATATATCATCTAGTAAACTTTATTCTCTCAAGCATCTAGAAATTTCTACACCCGAAATTATATTGGATATTTAATATATTCTAAAGCTTCATAGTGTTGTAATATTTCCAAGGCAAGTTTATATGTATGTATTTTGGCAGAATAATTGGTCTTTTCTACTTCTCTCTTTGCCCATCTTTACTGTTTGTTATTTTCTGCTATTCTTTCTATCCTGTTACAGCAGAGTTATTATGAACAGATTACCTTACTTTAAAGATCAAGTATACTACTCTTTTTTGAATGTGTCTTTTTTGACCTGTAATGATAAATACTAGTAAACTATAAACAGATTCAGATGGAGCAACGCTCCAAATATTTTAGAGGGAAATAAAAATTGAGAACTCTAGAAATTGTTAACTAATTCAAACAGTAGTTGTATTCAAAATATAGTGATGAATATTTTGTGTTTTAACAAAATTATGAAACATCATGGTAGAAAATATTATATTCTTGTTTCTGAATTGTGCTCTTTTAGTGTCTCTGTAACTAAATAAACAAGAATATGTTTACATTGACTTGCAATCTGAATAGTTTTTATGCTATAATTGAACAAAACTGTATGTCTATGATATTTCTCAGTAGAAAAATTAGAGTCCTTGTGTGGAGTTTCCTCCTATGTGAGGTATTGGAGTACCCTTGCTTGTGAGGTAACCAAGCAAGTCTCTCTCCATTTGAAATTTCAGCTGCAAAGGATCGGATTCTTTCTTCAAGCCTCCGTAGGCATCTGCACAGTCATGTATACCAAACCCATATAATCATATAAATGAAAATCATATAAATCTATAAAAATTATTTTTTAAGAGAGTAATCTTAATTTCCTTTCTCCCCTTTTCATTCTTTGGCTTGTGCAACTTCCAGATAAATGGATAAATAATAGTAGCCCAGCATTGGCGCTTCTGATTGACATAGTATGCTTTTCCTTCATTCTTTTTATGTCTAAAGACCCCATTTGACTGTTGTGGGTGATATTTCCAACATATAAATGCATGTGCATATATATGCATACATATGTGTGTGTGTGTGTGTATATATATATATATATATATATATATATATATATATATTTCATTTAGTTCTTTAGATATTCTCAGAAGTGAAATTGTTCTATCATATGGTAATTTGTAGTTTTTTTTTTTCTTGAACTATCTCCATATTTTTTATGGAACTTACAACATTTAAGATTTAATGTATAATGGTTATAGTGCATGACTGTTCTGCTTTTTCTACATCCTTGTTAGACTTTCTAATTCATTAGCCTTTTAGACTTGATGTGCCTGCCTACCTGCCCAGCTGTCTGCATTTCCTCTCCCCTTTGCTTTATTCCTGCCACATCCTTTTCTTCCCTTCTCTCATTTTCTTTGCCTACCTGTCTGCCTTGATGCCTTCTGCTTTTTAAAAATATATGTAAATAATTAAAGGGGATATAAAGGGACAATTCACTCTTCTTTGTTTCTGTATTGTTCAGTGATACTGAACACCTTTTCAAATATATGTGTGTTTTAGCTATACATGGGTCTTTGTAGAAGTATATGCTTTACATTCATGGGTACTCATAGAGAAGCTATTTAGATTTCATAGAGTTTTGTTCATTAATATTTCTATATTGCAATTATTTGTAGATATTTTTATCTTTTGTTTGCTTCATATACTTTCTTCTAAGCACTGTTGTAGTTAATCCTAAAATTTAAGTATTAACATTATATATATATAACTTATATATTTATAGATTATTTAGCTATGGACCATTTTAAAATGTTTTAAAATTTTCACACTGAAAATTTTCAGAAATTTGACTTACAACAATATAGGTACAAAACACTTATATAATTTTAATTTTAATTTCTTTAAATTTGTTTTGACTCACTTCATGGTTCAGTTTGTGAACTATCTTTGTAGATATCTCAAAGGCATTGAGAAGTTCTATTTGGGCTCCTATAGAGAGTTCAGTAAGTGTCATTTAGAGCATTCTTAGTAGTATAGGCTGATGATTTTTTTCTTCTTGTCTCCTTATTTTATGAGATAGAGATAGAAACATAGAAGTCTAATTTTTTTTAGAGAGAGAGTGAGAGTGAGAGTGAGAGTGAGAGAGAGAGAGAGAGAGAGAGAGAGAGATGAGTGTTATATGTAATTTTTTTCCCTGAAAACTAATGGCTTTTATTTATGTAAGGGTCAATATAAAAATAAATCTTTGAAGTGACACAGGCACATGATCTCTGGAAAGAGAATCTAGCAGTTAAGAGCACATTTCAGTACCAGGGGCTCTAATGATTGGCCTCCCAGGGCACCTGTACTCACATCTTACATGTTAATATGTGCACCCCCCCAACACACACATAAGTATGTGCTCCCCCTATACACACACACACACACACACACACACACACACACACATCATTTACATTTTAAAAATGAATCTAAACAAGAAGTAAATAGGTGAAAAATGTATGTCCCCTCTAAATACTAAAAGAAATAACTACAATTGCTGAAAGAATTCTTTTCTTTCTATTTGTTAGTAATAATTCAGTGAATTGCTTGCAGTGCTAACTTCAATTTTCATTGTGTCAAAAGAGTCTCATCACACATATACCAAAGCAACAATAATTGACCAGGAGGGTAGCTTGTCAGTGACTCTTTATGTAAGACACTATAAAGCAATCTTGAGCTACATACTTTGTTATTAATCTCTGTGGATGTTAGGGCAGAAGCTGGGAAATTCAAGAGTATATGAGGTCGGACAGTTCTGCCTGGTTATTTAAAAGCAAACACTCACACAAGTTATATTCAGAGACATCATTGAAATGTAATTGAAGGGTAGAGAGATGACTCAACAATTGAGAATACTTGCTTCTTTTGCAGAGGGTTGTTTGTTTCTCAGCCTCTTTTTGGTAGTTCAGAACCATCTGTTATGTCAGTTTCAGAGACTATGACACCCCCTTCTGGTCTCCACAGGCTCCTGTTTGCATTTGGTATGTGTATGCACACGCACACATACATACTCATATATACACACACTCACGCCCATATATACACCTACAGATGATTTAATAAGGTAAACATCAGAATTTTAATTAAGTCCATGTACATAAAGTAAAGGTGTATGCCTTCATTTGTTTTGAAACTGTCATCATAAGGGCAGGAACCAATTGAAGGTTGGTACATGTTGGTGAATTGTCCCCTTTATTAATACACTGTGTCACCCCCACACACACTCTTTGCCCCCCCCCCCTTACAGAGTTTCTCTGTGTATCCCTGGTTGCCCTGGAACTTAGCCTGTATTGGACCAGGATGGTCATAAACTCAGAGAGATCCACCTGCTTTGAGTAATAGAAATAAAGGTTTGCACTACCTTGGCCTTTATGCCTATTAGTAGTCCTCTGAGAAGTACTCCATTGAGTATTCATAAATCAGAAATTTCTTTTTTTATAGTTCTATTACTATCCTACTTTTCTGTTTTCTTTTATGAGACATATACACTATTTTCTTACTTGTTACTTTTATTTAGACTGAATAATTCCTACTGTATCTTTTACTAGCTCCTTTTTTTTTTTTCTTTTTCTTTTTGAGACATGGTTTCTCTGTATAGCCCTGGCTGTCCTGGAACTCAATCTGTAGACCAGGCTGGCCTCGGATTCAGAAATCCTCCTGCCTCTGCCTCCTAAGTGCTGGGATTAAAGTCGTGCGCTACCACTGCCCAGCACCATATTTTTTTTTAATGATCCTAAAAATTTTATTTTCCAAGTCACAGTAGATTTTTTCATAACATACTAAACAGTAAAACTTAATTTGTGGTTGACTGAAAAATATACTTATTCATGAAACAGTATTTTCTTAAACTAATGCAAAACCAACTCTAGCAAAACACTCACATGGAAGAATTTATCTCATAATGTTTAAGAAAAACCATTGTCTCAGGCAATAGCTAGAATATTCCCCACCACCAATAAAACAGTTTTTACCGTCCATCTTAGTAGTCATAATTGGCCCTGGACAATATAAAAGTCTGAAGAGATTAATAATAATCTTTCCAGTGAACTCTCTTACCATGCTGTGTTAGAGGAAGTGGTTAAAATTTAAATTTTTACCGTAAAAGATATCTATACTTAGATTTATTTCAAAATGTATTTTTACATCTTATATTTAATTATTTTAACAAGTAAAATTATAGTTGCTTCTGAAGACAAAGTTTTACAGCATACAGTGCACCATGAATTGTCTTATTTAGAATTTAGAAGGACAAAGAGTGACAGTCTAACCACTCAAAAGCCTTAAATTCATTTTTACTTTGTAGATATTTATGTATCTGCTGTGTGTACTGGCAGGTGGCTAACAATTTTTTTATTGGATATTTTATTTATTTACATTTCAGATGCCATCTCCTGTCCCCATTTCCTCTCCCTAGAAAATCCCTATCCTACCCCACCCCCCTTCTCCTGTTTGCTTTTATACCATTTTAAT